AAGAGAATACATCAAAATATAGAGCCACTCTGAAAATGCAGCTAATGTTTCTTTATGGGTTGTTAAATATATCATATTGTTCTGTCCATACTAGGAAAATGACCTATAAGATGGCAAAAGTAAATCTTTGTCCTTCTCCCTTTGTTGCCTTTGAAATTGTTCTGGCAATTTAAAAAGGATATAATAGCTTTAAGCAAGGCTATGAAAAATCACCTCAATGTTCTGAAAGTTTCGAGGTGCAAAATTTTTTTCAGATTTTTCTGTTCTACAGCAACAGATAAACTATTTTGATACACTTTTTTATCATTTTTATTATTATTATTGAAAAAAAACCTTCTGTCTTTTGTGGTAAGCTGTATTATTTTCAGAGCCAGTGGATTACTCACGTTTGAAGACAAGTTAGGTAATGACAACTCTAGCCACACCGGGACATACAGAGTGACCTGGCTCTTGGCTCAGTCTTAAGGCATGTTGTGAGAAAGATATTTAAAATATAAATCCTTTCAGGAATGTCACTCTTCTTGCCCAAAGGACATACAGATATTTGGGGAAGGATAAGCACGGATGAAATGCTGGATCTCAGAGGAGCACGTTGTAGTATCAAGGTGGGACTGTGCTAGCAGCTGACATTTCTACAGCTCATTCATCTATGCTTGAAATACACATGATAAAAAACAGGACTGCTTTTCATTTTAAGAAGGAATACCTATTATCAGAAATGCCTCTAAGGGTGTTAAAACTGGCTACAAGGCTCACATATCTCGAAGAATTTATTCAATTTCATTTCTAAAATGAAGGTTATAAATCAACCCCAAGCCCTTCCTGAAAAACAGTTATCCTCCAAGCTATTATGAGCATTTACAGAAGAATGATTCTTTTCTGTGTCAGATGTTATGAAAGGCAGCTCATACTTCAAATAATATGATTTATAAGTTGAGATTGTGAAGCTAAATTTAATAAAGCTCAGAGAAGATGCATGAGCCTCAAAAAAGCTTTTTAATATATATTTCTTGGAGTTGAGATGCTGCCCTTGTTTTATAATAGCTGGTTTGTATTCTTCTGTATGATGGGGTTACTGATGGATACCAGCAGAATTACCCTCTACATAAGGTTTGCCTTCTTGCATCTTCTCTTTCTCTCTATGAGAATTCAGCTGATGACAGATTGCTTACACATATCTCATTACTTTGTGCAGTTATCATACACAACTTAAAGGGCTTTCCAGTCTTCATGTTTGTTTCTTGAGTTTTCAACTTTTCTTTCTGATGGCGTAATTCCTCAAAGAAAGATGAAAGTGCTTGGTTAGTTCTTTTGGTTCAAGGAATTGTTGGGAGATTTACCACTCTATTAACTTTATTTTGAAGATCTTGACGATTAACTTTAGAAATCAGCTGTTCTGGTCAGGGAAGTCCCACCAACTCATGAAAATATTTTCATGAGCAGAATTTCCTTCAAATATGTTTTCAATATGGAGTTGGAATTTGAAATTTTTAACTGAAAGAAATAATATTTCATTTCAATTCATCCAAAAGAAAAAAAAAATTGATGACACTGAAGCTCATCTCACAGAAAATGATACTTTGAAAAACGAAAAAGAAACAGGTGTTTTGGTAATAAATTTCCTAAATTTTCATTATGTATATCTCTTCCAGACAAAAGAACAGCAGGTCAGATCTAGGCTGCCTACTTAAGTTTAAGTCTGCTTTTTATGAGTGACCATTAGAAAACGGAGAAATCAAGGGAAGGGACAATGCAACCAAAATAAGTACCTAATTTCCCTTTCAAATCAATGGAGAAATGTAGATTTTTCTGATGACTTTTGGAGTCTTAACCAGACTGGTTCAGCCAGTTAATTATTTTTCACTGACATTACAAGGGGCAAACAAGATAGATATATTTTTATATAACAATTTATATACTTAAATATATGCACTGAATATATATATTTCTATATAGAAATTTATTTAAATATATATATTGAGTATATATATTTATATATCTGTTTCAATATCTTGGCACTATCATCATGTTTTGTGGACCGGACAAGTAGTCAACTTGTCTGGAGAGCAGGAGACATGATGTCTAGGCTTCCTTTAGCATAGGCAGCCAGATACCAAGTTCTTCACAAGCTACATGACTATTGAACGACAAGCCCACAAGGTGTTTTATGCAAACACACTTTACTACAGTTCCTCATCCAAAGTCTGTTTTCAGCTTTTATCTAATGACAGCCTAATGTAAAAGGCACAATTAAACCATTTTGGAAAAGATGTTTTCCAAGACTCGCCTTAGTCCGACTCCTGCCTATAACTGGATTTCTGGTTTTGTCTAAGAGGGTTAGCTGGTTTTTAGTTAAGTGAACAGAGTCTCAGTGACCGGCTACTGATGTGGGGGCTTCAGCAGACTTCTCAGTGACAGATCAGTACTTACTGCTGAATATCCTTGGGAATTCAGTTGGGGACCCCAAATAAGTGGGGAAATGCCAATTAAATTTATTAGGCTGATGGGATTTGTGAGTTTTAATCACTGAAATCTTACCTTAGGCAGTATTTCAGAAAACTGATCTGTGCCCTTAGAGTGTGACGGTAGAGCTTAGATAGACAAACCAGTCCAAAACAGCCCAGGCAAAAGAATCCCAACATTTACACAAACTGCAGCTGTGCTATTGTCCATATACCATGACATAACCATTCCTTGTTAAATTAATATTCCACCTTGTGAAACAAGCTAGAATTAGTAGCCCATTTGTGCACTTACAATGCAGTTAACAAAATGAACAGAAAAAATTCTAACTCTGAAAAGTGAAACACAAATCTAGCTACAATCACTATAGAAGAAATACATCTTCAACTATTTCCTTCCGTTAGTATGCCAGGAATTGACTCATAAGAGGAAATCTCATGGGTTCCTGCTAATCATCTAAGGTAAGTTATAGCTTCAATGTAAATGTATTTTATGCAAATTATTATTGTGTTTAAACGGCAAGTAAAAAATAAATTAAACAAGCTGCTAATTTCACCAACAATCAATGAAAATTCTGTTATTTTAAGAGATTATTCTGGGAATACATAAAATATGCTTAAGGAATACTCCATTTGTACTCGCAATGTTTCTTTTTTTCATGACAGGAAATAAATAAAATGTAAGGTCAATTATTAAATAAATATAATTAATATGTTCAAGAGTTTTATAAGGCTTAGTGTTACTGTAACAGATGTGACCATTATTCAAGGGTCTCTTGTGACTTTTGTGGTTTGCCCTTGTAGCTCAGTAACAGAAGTAATTATTTGAAGACAATGTGTAGAACACCTTGAAATTCATGCAAAAGCTGAAATAGAGAATTCAGAAGTCTGGAACACTGCAAGCGCAGACACTCCAGAAATATATCAGAAGCTATTTTAAATTCATTTAGGCTTGTGCAAGGTTAATTATAGAAACATTTTATGAGCCTGGTACAAAGAATGAGTCATTTTTGGGTAGACTAGATTACTTTGGGGGAGGTTTGGGTTCAAGATTTTCATTTGCTGTACTAGCCCAGGGTGAGCCCACTCTGGAGTCAGGTTTGAATCATTAGACATTGGAATATGTAATGTTTGAGGGGAACACTTCAGGTGAAAATTCTAAGTGTCAATTAAATTATTTTTGCAAAATTTTCTTCAGTTTTAATTGTCTGTGTCCAAGTCCCTGAATCTCAGTAGAGTCTCATATATCCCAGGTTTCACTACACAGTTGCCCACCTTTAACAGGAAGTAGCACGCTGGCTACTTGGCAGGGAGCTGCTTGTGGCTCTTCTAGGAAGGATTGCTGAAGAGCACTGGCCACACGACGTAGATCTGTGGGACACTGTGACTCTGGAAGTATCCCAGGAGCAGTTTGGGAAAGGGATGACTCACATGGGACAGGGGTATGTGCCAGACAGAGTACAGGTGTCTGGAACCTTGGAAAATATACTGGGAACTTTTTGGTTTACAGTCACAATATTTATATGTTTTTCTTTAAACCTCCAACAGGATATTAAGTTAGCTCAAATACGATCATTCATGTAAAGTGGAGACCACTTCAGACATACATATATGATTAGGTCTTTTTTGAATGAATTTTGGAATCAAATCCTTTGCTGTCTTCACTTAAGCCAGAATATAATTTGGCATTTAATTCACAAAATGTGCTAAGATGACAATGAGAAATTTTTCACTAGTACAGGTCAAGACTGAGCTAGAGGATGGGAAAAGACTGTATGTTAGGCATTGACAGCTAAACCTCGCAAAACAGAAGGTCTGTTTGCACTGTGACCATCTGCAGCTAATCACGCTATTCATGAACGGAACAATTTTCATACCATAATGGTTTATGTCCCCATTTCTTTTTAATTATATAGGTCATTTATAGATAAGGGAGGAAAAGTCTGCATCCCATTACTACTATCAGCATGTAAAAGCCAGCAAATATTTTAAGTTTGTGATGTAGCTGAAGTTAGTCTTTACTTGATCAACATTTTCTCACACTCATCTGTGACCAAGGCATTCAGTGGCTAGCACAGGGAAGATAAGAGAAATTTCAAGGGACAAAAGGATGTTTTTCTGCTGTCCAATGTCAGCTGTGTTTAAAGAGTAAATGCATTCTGAATTTTCTCTGAAGCAACTAAAAAAAAAAAAATAATAGAATTGTTGGGTTTGATATTCCACAGCCTTATAACAGATGTTTTGTCCAGGTATTGTCAAAAAGAAAATGATGAAGCTGTAAAGAAGAGCACATTTCCGCACACTGCTGTAACAATCTGGAGAGAAACCAAACCCAAAATGAAAATGTGAGTGTGACGTTTAAATATTCCAATGCGAAAGGATGCCTTTAAAATATTCATGAAAAACAAAGCCCTCTGCAAAACCTAAATACTAAATATTTTTCATACTTTTCTGCTTTCCAGCATTCCATAACCTGAACTGATTCATCAAAAAGGAGAAAACAGAAGACCCTTGATAGAATTTTAAAGATTTGCTTACCATAGATTGACTAGGAAGGGATGTTCCAGGCCTTGCATTATCTGTAGCTCCCGAAAAACATTTCTAACTTCATCTCTCTCAATGCACTTCTGTTTATTCATATATTTCATGGCATACATTTTCTTGGTGTCTCTCTTCTGTACAATGCACACCTAATCGACAGCAAAGTAAAAGAAAAAGTTTGACACCTACAGAAAAGTAACTCACCTGTGATTTGGAAAATAATGAGCCTTTTATGATATTTCAGTATCTCAGATATGGATGCTGCAACCTGGTAACACCTTCAAAAAGTCCACATCACAGTTATGCAGGTTTTTTTTGTAATAGATTGTAATTAATAAATTAACAAAACACATCAGCCCTGCATATGAAGAAATGGGGACCCAGAAAAGTGGCATAACTTTCAGAAGTTACATGGTAAACCTGGGAGGAATACACTCCAATTGCTGGAGTCACATCCTACTTCCTTAGTCACAGAAATTTTTGCATCCTGACTGAAAAAATTGTAGAAGCATAGAAAGATAGAATGGTTAGATTTTAGATCATCTAGTTTCAACCCTTCTGCCATTGGCAGGGACACCTTCCACTAGACTGGGTTGCTCAATAGTCCTCATACTCATAAATCAATGCACATATCTTGATTACTGCAGCATAAACATAGCCTGTATTCAGAAGACTCAATATTTCATCTAAATATTAGAATTAAGCTCCCTTAAATATTGTCGGGGGAAAAAAATCAACAAAAAAATATTGAAGAGAGATTCATCACAATGTTTTTGAAGTCACAAGAGACCATTACAATGATTAAGTCTCTGGCAGTAAATTTCTTTGCTTAACTTTGTTTTTCTTGTTGACAAAAGTCAAATAATGTTGTAAATGCAGGAAGAAAATCTTAGTCAAGAAAACTCCCATGTAAGGCCTGTATTGTTTTTTGTCATAGTAGTTTACCTTGTGAATGATGCTGGAGAGTGTCACCAGCACCACATCCAAGAATCATGAGTTTAAACATGATTTCTGGCAACACAGAAATATAAGACTCTTCTGTGTCTCATCCCCCAAGCTGGTGTAAATCTCATCTTCATAAGAGCCCTAGACATAAAGCAAAACTGTAACCTCAATCGACTTTTGCTCTGAAGGTTTTTCCTCTTAACTGATCCGCACTTTTTGAAGCAACACCCCTAGTGTGTCTTCACAGCCAAGAGAATATTAGTTGGTGATATTATTTTGGTGCTACATTTATATTACAGCCACAGGCTTCGATCAGAATTTTTCGTCAAGATCTACACAGACTGTATACTGGAAGTGTCTGGTTTAGATATCACAGCTCTGTAGTTTCTAAATTCAAGGATACTCTGGATTCCCTTGCTGTGGCACTATTACTTTGTGTGTATATTTATGTACATACACACATGCACACACTCACACTCCCATACTATACACACATAAAATTTTAGTATACATACATTATGTATGGCTCAGAGATCAGATTACAACAGTGACAACCAAAAAGAAATCCTTCTGTTTTGAGTTGTATTTTAAGGAACTTGCATGTTCAAAATTCAGAAATTGTCTGGAGAAACCAAGAAAACTTCCCACAGCTGAACCTCTGACTTTAACAAGGTGTCATCTGGATTCTGGACATGGTGGTGAATGACCAGTGCCAGGGTAAGTACCCTAGAGAGACCTACTGTGTGATCACTTATTTCTTAAACTCAGAGGAAAGGTTCCAGGAATGTGCCATCAGCATATTTTACTTCCACCACCTTTTTCCAGTCCCTGAAAGAGGAGCTGGGCCAGTGAAACCAAACCACATTTGTTTCTCTGCAACTCTATTTCCATGAAGTGCGTCCTTGAGCTCAAATCTACTCCAAAGAGTTAATGACGTACTTTTAACCTATAATGATAAGGTGTGATTAAGCAGAGTTTCTAATTACCTTTCCTAATATCAGGGGACGTTCTACTAATTAGATAAAACATGGATGGTAATGTTTTGTCTTGAGCCCATCATTGTTGCAGAATGGAAAATACCAAAGTTTTGTTTCATTTTCCTCCTTAGGCTCCTATGGAATCCCTGGATATTGATGGTGTCCAAGATACTTAAGATTCACACTTATATGAAAAGAGCTCAGGCCATGGAACAATGGGGAATTGGAGCTAGCCTTTTGGTGGAAGGCAACAGGTAGGATTAAAGTGGGGTTAAAGGTAGCAGGGGGGGTTAACTGAAATGGAGGAAAGGAAATGAATAAGATTTTACAAGTTCTTCGAAAGAAGCAGAATTTGCAGGGGCAGTTCCTAACATCCTGTCTGAGACTACATGGACACTCTAATTTAGTGAATCACATTATAAAGTACAATGGTTTGGATTTTAGCTCAGAACCTAGGTCCATAATTTCATTCACTTATATTTGCAGCATGATTTTCATATGAAACTTGGCCAAGACTGAAGTGTTTGCAGAAGTCTCTTATTCCATTAAATAAAAAGCCCCCCTATTGAATTGTTGACTAGTGAGACTTCTGAGAGAAGGGGGTTTTACTCAGCTGAGAGTTACAGGTTTGACCGATATGGCAAATTAAGATCATATATAGCATCTAAATATGTGATGTAAATAGGTTTTGAAACACTGCTCTGACTCCAGAAGGCACTCAGTTCTCTTACCTACCAGTCAAGTCAAGGGTATTCAGCACAGCTGAAAGAGACCTTCTGTTGTTAGTAGAAGCTTACCTAGCATAGAGCTTTAAAGCAGAATGATAGTAAACATTTGCTAGTAATGTGTACATATGCACATCTTTTAACATGGTTTCAGAAACAATAAGATTTTAATGAATATACTAAAGCTACTTCCTACTAAAAATCAAGAAATATAAGCTTCAACCACATTGATGTTATTGTGCAAAACACCTGACATTGCTATGACACCACTGAATCATAATGGAGATCCTCCCTGGCAGTTCTACCTGCTGGCTGTCACCCCTTCTGAGCAGGATGTCAGTGGGCTGAAACTTTTCCACTACTGTAGGAAAAGCCCTTGAGTTCTCCTCACATGTGCAGTCTTAGTGGAAAGTGTTTAAATTGGTTGTCTTTTGGTTTTGGTTTAAATCCTTTCCAAAGAAGTCATTTTAAAACAGGGACAAACAGGTGCTCTGGCACCTCAACAAATGAATTCTGTGATGATTCATTATTGTGGAAGTCTGTGCAGAACTGCCTTATTTATACGTATCAGTGAGGAAGCCTGTCATGCTCACATTACTAAAGCAGTTTCAATTTTTCTGAGAATATCATCTACCAAAGCCCAGACAGTGCCCTGCTCAAACTGGTACCACTGCTTCAACAGTCTCTGTAGGTGATGCTTCAGCCAAATAGGTGTCACAAACTCAACAGCTATCCAGCTTCACGGTCAGCAGGGAGGTACAGGCCCATCCACCTCCACGTATTCAAAGGTCTAAATAGGTCCAAGGGACCATCTCTAGAGGCGCTGTTTCTCCTAAAGAGACTGTAGATGACTAGCTTGGACGTAGGCATCCCTGCTGTAGATATTTAAAGGTAGGCATATGCATCCTCATTAATTTTCTTTGTAGTTATATGGTGCTTATTTTTAAAAGCCTCCTGTGAAAATATTTCATTTTTAAAGAGGGTTTTCTAATATATAAGCTGTTATCATAGTTTGTATTTTTTTTTTTTTTTTGGTATCTGGGAGAAGATAACTACTTACCTTTCAAAACTATCACGTTGAAAGAAATTTGACCAGAGGGTGACTTGGAGCCCCAGGGGAAAAAAAGCAACAGACTATGACTGCAGTGCTAAACTTCACTTTTCAGGACCAATATATACAATGGTCCACTTCTAAGCTACTTTCTTAGATTACTTCTGATTTCACATGCCAAAAAATAGAGCACCTACAGATCAAGCCTGATCAGCAGAATTTGCTACTGGTTTGCTGCAGAAAGCTGCATAATGATGCGTTGGCTGAGCAGTCAAGGGTAGATCTGGGGGAGCTCTTCCTAGAGAAAAGATGGCGAAGGCTGAAAAATTTGACTTACTGAAAACACAGATTTCTCCTGTTTGCCACTAACTTCTAGCTGCCTTGTGCTTGGTCTAGAATGCACAGCAGGGAGCAGGCGCATAGTCTGAATAAAGCCATTTTGGCCTGTTTGGTACATGAGTACTTAGACTTCTCAAACTACCCCATGATATGGTTTCATGACAGGGCATAAAAAACAAGAGATGTGAAACTGCATTCAGAGAAAGCTTCTCTGTGCAAGGCTGCTGTGAGAGCTGGCAGCTGGAACGCACTTCATTCTTACTCCTGTATCACAGTAGCATGCAACTTAGGTCAGTAGATCAGATGAGGCAGTTATAGCTGTGGCACTGCATGGGCAGAAGTCACTCACCTAGATGTAGGGTACAACGAGACAGAAATCAGCTATATGTTTCACAGTCAATGTGGGAACTGACAAATATGCTATGAAGCATGTGCCTGAAATACTGCTACCTTGACTGTTCTTACCCACATACTCTGAAAAATTAATGCTCTTAGTCTCAGCCTACAAGTAGAATCGGAAAGATTTACACAAAGAGGCTGGAGAATGGATGCCATAAATTTGGCTTTACACTGCCAGGGAATTTACTTGAAATAGGGGAATTTATTCCCAGATTCCCCCGAGCAAACTACGACAGCTGGAGCAGGGGCCAAGCATCTGCTTAGTAACCTTTCATATTAACTCAAGCTAAAAGAATTCGTGGTTATACTGTCAAACAATATTAATATTCTGCAGTTGTGTGTTATGTTGCTTTTAGGATAGCAGCGTATTTTTTCTCAAATACTTTGCATATTATTTAGTAAGGTACCCTCAATCAGTGCAAGATTCTGGGCCCCCATCTGTTCCACACCAGTGCAATTTCAATTGCTTCAACAGAGGATGTCATGGTTTTATACAACCAAATTAATCAGACCTAAGTCCTATGTATCAGCATCTTAGACAAATAGCAGAAAAAGTTTGTACATAGGAATCACAATTTGAATTTAATTTAAGGTCAGATTGTTCAGCGTAGCTGTTCCCATGCACAGAGAACTTCAAGAAAATTGGTACTACAATATCGCTGAAAACTAGTTGCTGCACCTGAATACAAATTATTTTTCAGCAATAAGCCTGCAATTATATGGTTACTGTTGCAGTAAAGAACAATGATAATGCCTGTATTTCATTCCTAGTCAGTTTTGCACTCATTGAATGACCTTTAAATACAAACTTTTTTGCAATATTTTGGTTGATAAGAATGGTGGCTCTACATAGAACAACACTGAAGAAATTAGCCAGATGAAACATGAAAGAGCACTTTTATGTTGTCACATCATAAAGAAGTAGCTACTTAGACCAGTGTTCAGCATTTTTTTGTGTATTTTAAATTGTATAATTCTGAATTGACTTAGAAGGCAAATATTTAATATATGAATAAAATCTGTTTGGATAAAACTTCTGACCTGGCCCACTTTAAATGTAGGTGGAAATACAAAGTTCTGGACAGTGCCAAGCATAAATAGCTTAAAGGTGTTCAACAAAACTAAAAATAAACAAAATATTTCCTGTTAAATGTGAGGACACCAAAGCAGAAGCAAAGAGCTGCCTTCACCTACCTAGCAAAGGAAGGTCACTGAAGCCAGCAAGGCTGCTTGTAGAGTAGGGCCACATACCTCACTTGGGTGCCACTGTCATCATTGCCGCAGCTCACAGGTCTGTACCAGTATCCATATGCACATATATGTACACTGCCTATATATACATGGGCCCAGGAGTGGGGCCAAGTTCTCAGTGAGTGGTGACACACCATTCTACCACAGCTTACATGTCACTTGGCTTGAACAAAAGAACCACTGACTTAGAAGCTGTGTAATGGCTTGAATGGTCCTATGCAGGCTCAGAGCTCACCTTCTTTATTTGCTATTGGCCCCTTATTGGGGTGCAAGCTAAGCTCTCAAAGAACACCTTTGAAGTGAGCCTGGTTGTTTCCAGAAAAAAAACAGCATGTTTCTCTTGTCTCACACCCATTTCCTGCCCTCCTCACAACTGCTGTGACGTATCTTCACTTTTGCTGGGGAAGGTGCTACAGTGCATAGAAGACCACACCTGCTCTTAACATGTCCCTAACAAACAGCATGTACTAAGGCAGCAGCTTAAAACAAGCCGCCACTTCTCAGAAAGACAAGCTGTTCAGATGCAAAGCATTTGAAACCAAATGACCTGGGAATTCCTGTAACGGCTAACATTGCTACTGTGAATTGAGAATGCCAAAGGAAAAGGCAGGGAGCTGCTTTCTGAAGCTATCTGGGAGGGACAGAGAGTAGCTGATGAAACAGTCGGCCCCAGTGGAGAAGGTGAGGTGCAGAGGTTCAACTTGAACCCTGTGCACAAGAGCAGGCTGAGCTGCATAAAGTCTCTACCATATCAGATACCTCCTGCAGCAATATCCTGAAGAGGCCTAAGGTTGCTGTAGCAACCAAAGTAATTTAAGAAATATTGAGAGATATTGTAGCAACAGCAATAAAATAAAAAAGTAGTGCATGTCTTAAAACATCCTACTGTCTCAGAAAACAGAAAAGGCCACAGAGCAGCCATAAAGGAAGAAGTCAGTTTAAGGCAGGCACGATGCTGAACACCGTGTTATATGTTTCAGGGTGTTAGAGCACAAGAGGCTTCAAACAGTAAACAGCTAGTCAATAGAGATTAGAGGTCTTGCATCATCTGTTGACGTTTTCTGCTGCCAGGTACTTCCAGAAGGACAGTAATAGGAAAAGTTGCCAGCAACGAGGCTTCTAAATGAACGATAAAGGCAAGGCTGACTCACAGAGAAAGACACTTGAAATGGTGACTGATTTACCAAGTTGTGCTTTTGGCTATGGTGTAACAGGTCATTTTAAAATGGGTTTCTTTCTTTTGCTGTCTGTGGAAGGAAAAACAAGGTGATTTGTCAGATGTTTGCATTCGTTTGGGAAAAATAAGCCTGTTACACCAAGGACTCTTCAGTTGCACTAGACAGCTGCAAAATATGGATTTTAGATTAGAGGGGACTTATGCATGAGTCCTTTCTTGCATTAAACATGTTCTCTCTGTGCAACTCTATTCCCACTCATATGTATCCCCAGAGAAGGCTCAAAAGAACATTGTAGCAACAGGAACCTGTAAGGAAATCAGATGTTTCTAGACACATAGAAACATTCAGCAGTTTCCTAAATGCCGTGGAGAAGAGCTGATCAAATATCAACCAATAAGCCTTCAAATAAAGGCTTGTTTTATTTTCCTGCATAGTATGGAAGGGGGAAGGTTCGTTTGAAAGAACAGGGACAGTAGGGGATGTGGATCTTCTGAATGTGGAAGCTCTCAAGAAAAAGAGGGGTGCAGGTGATCTTTGAGATGATAGAATGATTTGGATATATCATTAACTACTTATCTTGTACCTTGTGCACCTGGACCCCTATTTAGTTTGCCATGATATTCCATCACTGTATTGTGATATTAAACAATCATAGATTTCCATCTGCCCTGATTTTTAAGGGGTTCTTTAATAACATTTTGCACTAGCAGTATATTCTCCTATTGACTTCAAAGGTTTTTCTTGGAAACTACTGAACTGAATAAGGACAGTGCCATGAAGGGCCATGCTGCTCTGCAAGAAGTATTTCCTGGCTCTGTAAAATGAAAGTAATTTGTCTGCATGGAAAGCCAAGAGACAGCAGAATCCTGTTCGTGTTCTTAATGCAAAACTGCAGAAGTAGCTCACCAGCACTCAGCTGGCATATAATCAAGAATCACTGAAATCAAGATCTAGGTAGCTATTGCTTAATCAATTATTGATGCTATATTTCACCTTCAAATGTATTCCTGCAAAAAACGGTTTCTAATGTTTTTATAATATGATTTTCCCTGACTACACGGGCTTGTATTTACCCAAATTAAAATTTAAAACCTTATTATCGTCTTTTATTATAGGAAAGACAGGTCGTCTACTCATGTGTAAACAAACCATTAATCTTCTCTGTTTCAGCAAAAGCCTGTTGAATTGAATAAACATTTACTCAATGATCATAATTACAGTGTATGTCAGTTTATACAGTCCCGAGTGTATTGAATCTATGTAAAGTGCCTTTAAAATGCTGCAATTATTTTAAAGACACAAACAAGTCCAGAGATTTAAGAACAAGATAAATTTTCTAAAAAAAAAGTAGCTTGTTCCTACTTTTTTGTTTGGATTTGGTTTGGGGGACTGATTTCTAAATCCTGGTAATCTCCACTGAGGAGACTGAATTATTACAATCATTTTTACTCAATTAAAGTTAGTGAATGTATTGTAATAGAAATAATTTGATAAATAGTCATAGTCAGTTCATATGGATGATCTTTAAGAAGCAAAAGGCTACAAAATCTATGTTCATTTACCCCAGTCAGTCACACCAGAAATACACAAAGGAATTCTTTACTAGACTTTTAACTTCTAAATATAAATTGATTCTTACCTTTCCAAAACTCCCTTTCCCAATAGCCCGCAATATTTGAAAGTGGTCAAAGTTAACTGCAAAATAAAGGAGAGAAGAAAAGGAAAATAGTTTGTAGAATGCTAAATCAGAATCAGAAATCAGATAAGAAAGGAAACGTCAGTTTTTCCAACCAATGTAATTTTGCCATGTGGTATTTACTTTTTCTCTGAAAACACTAAATGTATTTAATAGCTAGCAAAAGAAGGTTTGCTTTAAAATATGCTCCATTCATTTTATTCATTAACTCATCTTGGCCCAATGCCTCCAGTGCCCAGTATCTCAAAAAAAAAATATATCTGTCCTAGCCAAGAAGCCACATTAGCATTATGCAGCCATGAACAAAGCCTGCTCAGCATTTTCTAGAAAGATTAAGATCTATTAAAAGGATACTGAATAATTCAGGTAAGTAATATAGTCTGTTTACAGATACGTAGCAATGTAAGTATAGTATTGTTACAGTAATCACTCTGCAGGATAATTCCCATATTCCTTTACAGTGATGGAAGCTTGTCCCGTGATAAGTTAGCAGGATTAGCCCCTCTGAACTCTTCCACCTCTATACAATACATAATGCTAATATTGTAAGACTATTTTATAGATGTAGCATGTTTGGGAGATTACATTTTAGTTTGGCAGTAGAATGGATTTACTCCTACTCCATGAAACTCTGACAGCACAGTCTGTCCTAGCACTGAAGTGGTTTGTTGTGATGGTGAGTGAGATATTTCACTTTTCAGAAATGCCATTACTGTTGGTGTCTCATGAGACTAAACACAGCATGACCTCCAAATCTCTGGTTCACTGCTAGGTCTAGTGGCTTAAAAAGAAATCCAACAACATCCCAAATAAAATCTATATGGAGCCACTAACACACAAACATGACAATGTGTGATACAGTTTTTACAGTCACTTGCCAGAAAAGAATCACACTTAAAGCTAAACTCAGTGAACCAGAATCGACAAAGTTCAGTGCAACTTAACAGCATTTTTTTAAATTAAAACTTTCTTACATTCCTGGCTTTGATCATATACCTCCATCTATGTGCTCGCTATTGCTGTAACAGGAATCAGCAAAATTATGGAGACAAACAGTTATGGGGGAAAATGTGGTAACGTGAACAAATATAACAAAAATGTAACTTGCATCATGATGAAGAAAAACCTATAAAAGTAATAATGCTTTAACTATTTGTCAAAAATTTGTATTATGTCAAGCTAAGCACTGAGTAGGAAGTTGCAAGGTTGATACATATCAAGCCATTAAAAAGGACTAAAAACTTCCATGTTGCAGTAAAACCTCATTTACACTTTTTACACAACTTCCAATATATTTAAGTATTTCTTTATTTATTACTGCTTACATTGTCTTCAAACAAACATGGTTGCTCTTTTCATTAGTGCAGGTATAGCAAACACCTTACCGGTAACTGCTGGATACCAAATCAAATCCAGAGCTGACAAACTCTAGTCTTTAGCAGGCAAAGATGGTAATTGTGAACATAGCAGTTTTAGGATTTGGATACTAAAATGGTGCATAACCATGCAAAGGATTTATAAGGTGCCTGGACACTGGAAAACAAATTTTGTGCTGAATCATGTAAGAGTTAGGATTACCCAGATGTTTCAGAAGCGAGTTTGTCTGTCAACAACCTGAAGCTGGGATCTCTGCCAGCAGTTTTCACCAGCTGGACACTGTCTTGTAGTTTCTGCTGGTCAATACTAGTCTGATAGACAAGATAGTTTAGTAAAACAACCTTCCACATCGACTTATGTCAACTTAAGTCTTGCTCCCACAGGTCATCCCTCCCAAAAACATCCTCCTGAATGGAGGATTTGAGAGCTCAGTGACTTGGATCTTTAAGATTATTCTTAATTTAGGTGGGAACTTAACACAGCATTGAAAAGGTTCAAAACAATATGTTGATGTAACGAACTCCTTTGATAGGGAAAATTCAACAGGTTTTTCCCTCCATCATGCTGGTGTTGTCTGTGCCACTCCTCTGCTTTCAAACCTTCTGATGCCTCCTGTTTCTTTTACCCATTTTTAACAAACATATTCTTTAAAGAAATCTTAGTTTGAGTTTGTTCTTTACCTTGCAGTCACTCAGCTGAGGGCAGTTCCCCAAAACAACTGGAAAACTGTTGAAAGTCTGTAATCACCTAAATTTCATCCAAGACACATCTCAGTAAAACTTGACTATGTCATTGTCCTGAAGTCCAGCTGGTTTTGAAATGCATCAGTTCAATGAATTATTTTAGCTTTATAAAACTAAGATTAAGCATTTCTTTTTAGCTATTTTTCATATCATTTCTATTCTATTTCTCTGAACTTTCTTTAGTAGTGTTTATTGTTCTGAATGACTAGAACAACTTATTTTTTTAATTTGATTTAATTGTGATTCTGACTTCCATAACAAAGGAATTATTAAATGAGTCAGCAGGCCATGGAATTTAAGATGGATTATTAGTGAGTCTTATAAGGTTTAAAAAAACATAGCCACAACAGTTGATCAAATTTTTCCTTTTTTTAATGTTTAAGATGAATAGAAAGTGGGTTGTTACACTTTCACATCTTCATTAAGAAAAAAAGAGTATTTTATTCCTATAGTTCACTGGCCTGTAAGACTTAAATAAATCACAGTACAATGACTGTAACACGTTTTATGCAAGAGAAAATATAGTTTTAAGTGACTGTGGAAGTATGTAAACACACCTGAGCCTGCATTATAAATAAGCTAGGCTTTTCTGGAAAGGGCTAATTCGTGAAAGTGAAAAAACTTGGTTTCTTTTGATCACTCAAACATGTTCACAACACTGTAGATTCAAAAATTGGGGAAGTTCCTTCCTTGGGATGTTAGGAAAGAATAAAGAAAGGGTTACCTTTGCAGTTGAGACCAAGATTCAGCTGAGCAGATCTAATGTTTTAAGCAACAGCCCCATCAACAACAAACTGGCCATGCAGGAGTCACATTAGCATCACAGCCCTGATAAACAGTGAACAGTCAAACTAAGTTCACTGCCACCTTATTACTACACTAGTCATTCTCCTCAGGTGTTTTTAACCTCATACTCTCAAAAGTTTTTGTTTATTTTGTTCATCACACTTTTTTTTAGATTCTGTATATTCTTTTTCTCCCTTTTGTTGAAAATTCAACACCAAAGGGTCAACACTTATTTGGAGATAAATTACAGCTCACTATGCCTTCTGGTATTTACAGTGTTTAAAATATCATCAAATTCAGACACTGCCACGTCCTCTGTACAAAGAGGATATATTGTATTCTTGCCCTCTAAAACATGGTATGTCTAAATCTAGTGTGGTAGCTAATGACACCTGTCCTAGCACAAAACCCTGCTGAGATAATGGTTTGACTGGTAGAAGGGCACTTTCTTCAGTAACAGTAACATGACTATTACTCTTTTGAAAATGGCTTTCTTGGTATCCTTTAGTCAAGGGGAAAAAAAATATTTTCCAACTTTTTGAGCACTTCTTTCATTTTACCACTACACCATGCTTTGGAGAGCTTAGCCATCAGCTCTGAATTTGAGTTGAGTATGGATGTTTCTCAGAAACCAAAATTAGTTTATATGTGTTCAGCTGACTTTTCATACAGTCAAAACCACAGAATGAAACCGCTAGCATTAACAACAATATGAGAGGGGTTCCTTTAAGATTCATTGATTTTTATCGATTTGGGAAAATCAAGAAGTATTATAATCTCTTGTCCCCCATCTCCCATCCTGCCTTCATTCCTCCGACAAAGTCACCATTAATTCAAAACTGAGAAGGATTATGGAATAAAATAGATATTTGGCTAACTAAGGGAGAAAATTGATCAACATTTATGACAATTGTATGATATGTTATTAGAGTGACAAAATCCTGTTAATTTCAGCAATGAGTTATACATGCATATATACTAAATTATTTTGGTTTCTTCAGTCAAACTAAAACAGGGGAAGCTCAGGTCAGATGTAAGGAAGTTCTTTACTGTGAGGACAGTGAGGCACCAGAATGGGTTGCCCAAGGAAGCTGTGAATGCTCCATCCCTGGCAGTGTTCAGGGCCAGGTTGAACAGAGCCTTGTGTGACACAGTTCAGTGGGAGGTATCCTTGCCCATGGCGGGAATTGGAATTAGATGATCTTAAGGTTCTTTCTAACCCTAACTAATCTATGAATCTATGATACTATGTTCAAACAAACCTTAAATGAATTTCATTGCACAGTTTCAAGTCTCTATTGATAATTTTAAGTGCAAGCACCTTACTTCGATTATTTTTATGGATTTGAATTTGACCTGTGTAAACCCTTTTTCAAGTATTTTGATCTTGAACTAATAAAAGCTTTCATGATGGTAAATGGGACTCACTTTGATAGTGATGTAGATGTTTAACTCAAACTCCATCAAGTTGCTGCAGAACTGAGAACACAACCTAGCTCCTGCTTCAGACTGCACTATTTCTCAGGGACAGCTTTTCAACTGCATGAACACTGATGGAGCAGGGATTTGATATAAAACTTTGTAGTGAAAGACAAAATAAATATTTCTTGTTCCACTGCTCCCCAGGGATAAAGGATACTTTGGGGAAATTACCCATATGACAGCCTCTTGGTTTTTACAATCATACTGGAAATCATAGTGGAAATGCCTATTATTCTTTTTTAAATCAGCATTATATACATAATGATATATGTTAAAACAATGAAGTCTTTCATATACATTCCCTTCTGCTGCACTATTCATGTACAGTGATTTAATGATAAAAAACTTACGTTGATGCAGATTATTGCATGTTTGATTTATGGCATCACACAAGAACATGAAATTTCTACTCTTTCCTTTGCAGTTTTGATAATCTAAAATATATTTTTTGTGTTACCCGTCATTTGTTCAAATGTAAATTGCATCTAGCTCAAGAGGCAATATTTATATTAGGTGAATCCCACATAGAAGTGACATCTGTTCTTACTGCAGCTGAGGAATATTTATATCATGTATATACATGATTAGTCAATAACTACTACCTGAAAGGA